TCAATGTAATTACCGTTAATCCGTTCCGGCGTCCGCAGACCACGCGGCAGGGGCGGAAAAACGACCGCGGACCACGCGGCAGAGCGGAAAAACGGCCGCGGACCACATAGAACGGGTGGAAAATGGGCGCGGATCTGGTTCATAACTCGAGGTGGTTCGCAACACGAGGTAAATTTTTGGGGCCGGAGCTGGTCGTATCTCAAAAAATTCGTAAGGGGGGGTGTTCGTAACTAGAGGTACCTCTGTACCTGTATTACACAGCAAGTCAAATACAAACACCTAAAGTTTTTAAAAACTTTTTCTAAAGTTTATGTTAATAAATATTGTAAATCAATTGGAGTACAAAGATGGGGAAAATCAGAAATTAAATATTTATCTATACTATTTTTAGTAGTATTTTCCCCTATTTGCTTTTTTTTTCTTTTTCTTCTTTTTTAATATTTATAAATAATAATATAGTGGAGATTTTGGCACTATGCTTAAAAATTTATACTACTTTTTCATGTCATAAAAGCAACTTAATGTACTTCGCTTGGTGTGGTTTATTTTTTATTAATGTTATATTGAGCATTAATTGTATAACTTCAGTAATTCTCTGACTACTTATTGATATTATCTTTTCTGAAAATGTATCTTTGCTTTAAATAAAGTAAATATAAAGAAAAACAATCCAGATATATCTGAGATTTGAATATTTGCTTGAATGACTGGGTATGCAAATAGGAATGGTTTGACTTCTTCAGTGGTGGGATGCATTTTAGAGATGAGGGAGATACCTTTCAAACATATTCCTATGATGGACATTAGGAGTCCATCATAGGAATATGTCTGAAAGGTATCTTGCGAGCATGATCTGTAGGGCTTTAACTGAATCTTGTAAGGGAGGGAGAAAATAGCATGACACCAAGTAGTGGGGACAGGGGATGCAGGATTTGGAGGCATCTAACTGTAAGCATGTAAATGCAGAAAGGAAAAGTTCAGGTCATGTGACCCAAGGTTTCCAGTATTTCTGTACAAATGCACAGAGCATGGGGTACTCACAAGAAGAACTACAAGTCTTAATTCAGAAGGGCCAATATGATTGGGTAGGCATTTCAGAAACATAGGGTAGGATGAAGCTAAGCATATTTAACGCTTCTTTCTGCTGACCATCAGCCACAAGCAAATTCTGTTCCTTATACACAGATGCTTATTTATAGGTTGATTGCCCAGGCTAGTTCTACCCTCCATCAAATGGGACCTATGATGTAACTTCTCAGCATCTCTTCAGGGATCTGTGATAGGCATCCCCCATCACAATCATTTGTACTATATGCTAGTTGAAGATGTATCCTTTGTATAGTGACTTGAACATTGCAAATCCCTTTTTAAAATGTTAATTTATATATATAGTAATAATCAAAATACTGAAAATAAAAAACAACCCAAAAAGAAGAAAACTGCACAAAAGCACCTCTTCTCCATTATTTATATACTCACACACACACATATACATATATACACACATACATACATGCATACAAGCATACACACACACACTTAATTTTAAAGACAGAGCAATATTTTAAACTATATTAAATATTTCTATCCAAAATATATTTCTATAGAGACACAGTAATCAGTTACGAGTTTTTGTTGATATGATTAAAAAATAGAGACTAAATGTGAGTGAAACCTTCTGATTTAAGAATCAAAGGATTGTTCAAGACTCTTTTGTGCTATGTTAATTTTTTAGCCATTATTATATGTTATAGTTTCAAGTACCATGGATCCAAAGAAAGATGTACTTTAGCTTTTCACTGTTTTGCTACAGTATATTACACTTGGGACCTAACAACAAAGCGAAATTTAATTTATTGTGTTGCCCATCTTATATGTCCTTGGAAAAATAGACTTAAAGCTACAGTAATATTAATTATTAAAAATGATTGTACAATCTTTCCAGTTTCCTCAAAAATGTTCAAACAAATGATAATATGCCCCAATTTGATTAGAACTCCTTCAAAATAGTATAAAACACTTCAGTTTGCATAATATTATTTTAGGGAAGTGTAGTTTATTTTAATAGCCAATTCTTGATCATTTGCTGAAACAGATTTAAAAGGATTTTTTTTATCATATAGAGTTCAAACTGAGTCATAACGTTTAAATCCCAATTCGTCTTTCCATGCAACAGAACCAGAGAACTTGTTGCATTTGATAGAAGAGTTTTATATAATATTAAGTAGTACATTGATTTTACATAATGTGGATATATACCATTTTGCAAACATTCTTAATGTTCATTATTGACAAAATCTCATGAGCTTAAGATAAAATTATTGAAGATCCTTGATTAGCTTTACCATGATCATGAAGCCATTTAAAGCTTTAGAGTATGCATTAGTGCCTTTGTCTCCTGTATAATATGCGACCAGCTGATTTACAAGATATTCATTGCGGATCTGGAAAAAAGAACAGTTTATCCAGCTATGAAGTACAAAGTACAAAGTACAAAGCCTCAAGTGGATATGCTAGACATGGATAGGGATGCAGAAGCCTGTGAAGTTTTATATCAGCAGTTACATCTTCCAAATATTCTTTTGCCAGTTATTAAGCATATGAAGCCAAAGAGGGGGCTTTTTCCTTTTTCTCTAGATTCATCCACAAGGCCAGTGCAGGACAGATTCAATAAGCAATCTATTCCCCATGATCCTCTCTGGCAAGTTTGATTCTATTAATTCAAAGATACGTCTGCATGGAAAAAGCCTATACTCGTATAGAGAAAATGAGTTCTAAAAGTGGTAAAAACAAAACTGTTTTGGAGGCTTCAGGATAGCAAAGGAAGCAACAAAGATGAGAAATTTGCAAGCATAGGTGCACATGCATACACAGACATATGCTCCAAGCCCTGGCTCATTATTACCTTTTCTGCAAAGAAATAAAGGAGTATAGCAACCAGAAGTTCCACAATGAAGATCACCAGGATCAATATGGAGAACTGTAAAGTGAAAACAGCAAGCAAAATTAGGCCCATCTCTTCCATACATAATGTTAGAGCTGGATGCCAGGTGTCAACCTAATCAGGAGATCTCTGTTACTGACAATGTCAGTAATGTAATGCTTTGATCCTAAAATTCATTTTCTCATAATCATTTATTCTGCAGCTAGCAGAAATATTCAGGACTAACTACCAGATTGCATTATTCTTAGCCACTGGCATATAATGTTTCAGGTCCATGATATGGATTCCAAGCTTAGAAATCTTGTAATGTATGTTTGCATAAATATTCAGTCTTCAATCCCAGTGAACACCCTCAACTTACACACCGCAGCAGCTTTACATCTTCAGCAACAGTTGCATATATGCCCACGTAGCTCAGCCATGAGAGCAGTAGACCCACAAGGATGACAATACAAGCTGCTACAGTTAAGAAGTAGCTGGGAGAGATATCCAGAATTCTTTTAGGGTCAATGATCACCCAGATAGCCACAAAAATAAGGCAGAGTGCCCCGATCTGAAAAATATACAGAATAACCATTCAATGTAAAAGTCCTCTGTAAAATTCTAGTGGCTTTCAACTTAACTAAGTGTGTTTCTGATGAGGAAATAGTATTCCCTTAGGAATCCAGTTTGCAGGGGAATAGTGGCTCATATGGCAAGGGAGGTTGGGTGGTAATTTCAGTCAAGATTTGTGGGAGGTCTGTGAGGCTGCTATCTGGACAGCAAAGTACATCTTTAACAGACACATTTCAGCGTTCTGTGAAAAATCCTTTGGCAGGCAAGGCCTGCAAGGATTCTATTTCAGTAGGAAATGGCAGTATTGGAAGGATATTGACTGTAGATCCCACTCAAGGTGGACTGTTTTTCAACATATCTAACTACAGGTAGTCCTCACATAACGATCACAATAGGGACCGGAAAATTGTTAAGCAGGGCAGTTGTTAAGTGAGTTGCACCTGATTTTACAACCTTTTTTGCAGCAGTCATTAAGCAAATCACCGTGGCCATTAAATGAATCACGCCGTTTCCCATTGATTTTGCTTGCCAGAAGCCAGCTGGGAAGGTCATAAACAGTGATCATGTGACCCCAGGATGCTGCAACCGTCCTAAGTGCGAGCTGGTTGCCAAGCACCTGGGTCACGATCAGGTGACTATGAGGGTGCTGCAATGGTTGTAAGCGGAAGGACTGGTTGTAAGTCCCTTTCTTTAGCACTGTTGTAAGCCCATTTCTTTAGCACTGTTGTAACTTCGAACTGTCACTAAATGAATGGTTGTTAAGTGAGGACTATCTGTATTTGGCCTCTTCCCTTCAGAAAGAAAAATAGAAATTATCTACTGAACAGCAAGTTACTATTTTTCTTAAGTGAAAGAGGCTAGTTAGTCCCAGCCAAACGTCCTGCTGATTGCTGGTGATTTTGTAGAGGTTGTGGTGGATCACCTGGTGAATCTCTCCAGACCAATGTTGATCTACAGAGCACAGATTGAGAATTGATGTTTTAAAGATTTGAGTATTTACTTAGGGTTGTCTTGGACATACAAAATTGCACATAAAACCATAGAAAACAGCATGACAGAAAACAAATAGCAGATATCATTCAATGTGAGCAAGTATAAAATAATACACATTGATGCCAAAAATCCTAACTACTCATACAAATTAATGGGATCAAAGCTAACGGTGACTGACAAGGAAAGAGATCTTGGAGTAATGGTAAACAGTTCAATGAAGTGTCGACACAGTGTGCATCTGCTATAGAAAAGGCCCACAGCATGTTAGGGATAATAAATACGGTATTGAAAATAGAGGCACCAATATCATAATGTCCTTATATAAATCAATGGTGTGGCCACATCTGGAATATTGTATGCAGTTCTGGTTGCTGCACCTCAAAAAGGATATAGTGGTGCTGCAGAAGATTCAGAGGAGAGTAACTAAGATGATCAAGAGGCTGGAGCAGCTTCCCTATAAATAAAGGTTGCAACATTTGGGGCTTTTTAGTCTAGGAAGGAGGTGAATAAGATGGGACATGATTGAGGTATACAGAATTACGCATGGTGTGGATAAAGTGGACAAGGAGAAGCTATTTTCCCCTTCTCAAAATACTAAAACCAGAAGTCACCCTATGAAACTGAATCCTGGAAGAATCAGAACAGACAAAAGGAATTTTTTTTTACAGAACATGTAATTAAACTTTGGAATTTGCTGCCACAAGATTGGTGTTGGCTACCAGCTTGACTGGCTTCAAAAAAGGGTTGGACAAATTCATGGAAGGACAAATTCATGGAAGTCATGGGAAACAATTATTATTAATGCTGATGGCAGTATGACTATCTCTGAAGGCTATCTGCTTGGAGATTAGTGGGCTTCCTTGTATAGTTGGTTGGCCACTATGAAAACAGGCTGCTGGAACAGATGGACCTGGGGTCCAATCCAGCAGGCAATGCTTATGTTCTAGTACAATCCATCAGAGTTTTCCCACATTTCATTATTTCATAAGAATTTAAAATTTACAAGCATACCTGTTTGTTTTCCCACTGTATACACAATAAGGAAGGCATCTCAGGATTTAGAAAATGAGATAACTGACCTGACCTGAGATGATGCACAAGGCTTAAGCAGATCTCAATGAGCCAGGTTTCAGGGGGAACTTATTTTAAGCACAACCCTATAATAATACTTACAAACACCAGAAGACAGAAGAAAAACATCAGGTACTTCATACAAAGGACTGTATCCATTTTAAGGCATGAGCTGCTTGGCTATCAGCAGAAATAAGCAACCATCTCTGAAGAGAAAAGAGACAGAGATCAATGTGAGTTTGTCTTAGCTCTACCCTATTCATCTTTCACCCTTTATTTGTAATACAGTACTCAAATGGATGAGGAAACTAAAGTAGAGACCCTCCACCACTGCTGAAGTAGTGCTGAATGCCTCTCAGTCACTTTGGACTTCAGCTCCATCAGTCTCAATTAGCATGGCAAATGGTATTGTAGTTCAAAACATCTGGAGGCACCAAATTGTCTATTCTGAGATTACAGTGCAGATTTACCTGGGATGAAGCACCATTGAACATAATGAGGCTTGCTTTCAAGTGCATATGTAGGATTGATTAGTAAAGATTGATATACCTGTTTCTAAATACTGTCCAAAGTCACATATGACTTAATCTCTAATACTTGTCACAATAAAATACTCAAAGTATTATAAAGGAAAAAAATATTAGTACATTTTAAGCCTTGGCTCATAAAAAAAAAAAAAACTAGTAAAAAAATTCTTTACTTCAGTAGGTTGTTGCTGCTTCTGTCTTTACTTTTTCTTTCTCCCTATGCATTTTATCTTACATGTTCCTCAAAGCCTCACAGCTATGTTCATATGAAATCAATTTTGGAATTCTGCACTCAGTTGTGTTTATTTAATCTCAAACCAGCTATATAATGGTAATATTAGTCTTACCTTGTTTGTAAATTCCCCAGTCTGAACCTGTATTCTTAGCTGAACACCCATTCAGGTTGTTTAAAACTGGCCTGGTGAGTATGTAAGTCAGAGAATGCTATGCCTAACATTTATCTGAATCAGATGGTGTTTAGATATTCTGGAAGCTGAATATGCTACCTGGAAATTCTGCAAACTGTACATCTAACATCTTTAGAGAGTTCAAGACTGCAGAAGGTTCCTAGTGATTGTAGGGCAAGGGGAATACTTCTGAAATTAAGAAGCATATTCAAATCTTGTATGTTAACAGTGGCACAGATATATAAAGATCAGCAGTTCTAAAAGTATATTACAGCTACATTAAAAATTAATCTATTTACCAAATGCAGCAAGCAGTCATTGGTGTATACTAGTAATAAAATACAATGGAATATCCTAGAAAATTGTTTTGCAGACTATTCTGTCTTGTTTTCTGGGTCAAAACAGTATAAGGTAAGAATATGAAGTTTATGATAGGCTTAAATTATGTTGCAGTTAAATAGGACAATGGTAAATTTAAGTACTCGGAAGTGGAAACTTGTAGAAAAAGACTAATCTTTTCTTTAAAAGGAATAAGGAGCTTTAAATATAAAATTATTAGTCCACATATGTAGTGGAAGGAAACAAAATGACTGAAAAATAGAGAATGTAATTATTAGGGAGGAAAAAATGGGATATAGGCCTATTACAACAACATTCTCTTATAGGGAATGTTAAGGTTCCCCAACTTTTTTGATGCAGTGGAAAGCAGGTTATGGGCACTCTCACAAAATGGTGGTCATAGTGGGCCCGGCCAATTACAAAAGATCCACACACCAAAAGCAAACAAAGCACTAGGTTGCACCAACCTATTTATTGATGCCTCTGGAGTCCATGTGGCACCCAGAGGAATTGTTGGGAATAAAGGCATGCTTGAAACTGGTGTTTCCTTTCTCATTTTTAAAAATTAAAATAATTTTAAAAAACTAAATGTAAATATGACAGATGAGAAAAAATGGCTGGCAAATTGTCATCCTACAGTACGTTTTAAGACCTAGGTGATATGTTCTGTTTAGATAGGTAAATATTCAAATATGAACAAGCAAATATATTCAATGTTAATTGGGGGGGTTAGTGAGAATTGTTATGTTATCATAATAGCAACATTTCTGTTTCATTTGTAACTAGATATTTGTCTGATAAGTAGAACAATTGTGCTATTTACTGTTATCTGACAAAAATAATCTATGTAATCAGTACTATGTTTAGATGACACTGAATCATAGCTTAGCTAACGGCATTTTAGCATAGTATGTTGTTAAAAGCCATATCATTAGTACCATCTTTACCAACATGTCAGGATAAGAAAAAGAGATATACGTTACCCCACAAAATTCTATTTATTTGCTTGTGTTGCTATTGCTGTTGTTGCTCCCTCCACCCCAGTGGCATTCTGCCTCTCAAACCTGAAAAGGATTAATCCACCAAAATAAGACAGAATAGCATTTGTAACCATGAGAACATTCTTCCCCTAAGCCCAAATCAGGATATAGTTCACACGAGGAGTGATAGCTAATTGCAAATAACAAATTATGCTGCAAGTGGAGGGTGTGGGGGGACTGAAAAAGTAGTGCTGCATTCACTGATCTCTCACTGGTTTATGTGGATTGGCAGAGAGCTCATCAGTGCTCTGGAGGATTTTAGTTTGCAACAATATACTCAGAACTCTTTACTTACTGCATTTATCCTATGCTTGACTCTCTGTATTCCCTTTACATCATGGATTCTACTAGAGAAGCAAGCAAATATTTTACAAAAGGCATGTTTCCTTTCCCAGGTGGCTTTTCAACCGCAGAATATGATAAAATGATTCTAGTTTCATAATGTTTGTGGTTAGATTTTGGTTTGAGCATAGTAGAACAGTAAGATTTTAACTATAAAACGCTGTTTTGGATAAGCAAGAATTGTGCATTGAATCAGATTGTAAAAATAAAAAAATGCTGGTCTGTATCAAAAACAGTTCTGCCTGGTAATAATAAGCAGCCTTTGGAAATAAAACACCGCCTAGGGAAAGACCTTTGCCTTATCCACCTCTCTGGCGCATAGCATTTCTTGCTGTTGACTCCTACATTCCAAATTCTGTCCGTTTCTCTTTCCTCTGAACTTCCTAATTTCATTAGCAAAGGTACCAGAGCTAACGGTGATATAGCCATCAAGGAGATGGGCTGAGTGTCACTGTGTTGGTTTGGTTGAAGAAGCCACAAAGGTAGCACCCACCATCTTATTCCTCATGATACCATAACACAGCTGCCATCTCAGAAGTTATTTGGGATGAAAGCACCAGCCTTAACTGAACAGGGCATCATTGTCAGGCAGGATTTTCTAATGAAAATGATTAGTCTCAGCCAAACCAAGATTGTTGGCAGACATACTGTGATTTGGTGTACTATGTTAATATGGAAAAGTGGGTTAATTATAAACCCTGGTTAACCATGGATTAATGTGTTACGAGAATTCATTAGGGACAACCCACAATTCAAATACAGCCTTCAGAGGTCTGGTTTGTGATTTGCCATGATTCTCCCTCTGTTGCTGTTGCCCCCTTACCCTGCCACCATTTCTGTCACCGTTGTTTATGGTGAAGTTGCTAACACCACTGCTCAAACCCTGAGATGTTAGGAGCCATTCTGGCAGTTGCTCTGAAGACTCTATGCTCAAACTAGGGATCAGAGCAGCTGCCAACACTTGCAGGCCAGATTGACCATAAAGTTCTCTCAGAGCAGCTGCCAGAGTGGTTGATGACACTTGCAGGGCCTGAGCAGCAGAATTAACAGCCCCATGTTAAGAGTGACAGCAGTGATTGCATCATCATCATCACCATCATCATCATCAATTTTGAAAATAATGATCCAGTTAGCTAGAAAGCAGGGAGAAGGGAAAGCTTCTTTCGCACCATTGATCAAATGCATCAGGAGTGGTCAACTTCTGTACTGTGCAGTACATGAGCCATGGAGTACAACTTGGTCTGATTTTGGGACTTTTTTTTTTTTTTGCTCATCCTGTTCTATGCAATCATATAGCCTGAGGAAAATTAGAACATTTGTAGCATTTTGTTTGATCTTAGCCAATCTTGTAAGTTCAATCATAATACCATTTAGCAATTCACTGCCTGGACTATATAGTGAAGTAAGCCACGTTTAGTTTTTATTTAGCAGAATGTTTAAACTCAGTTTTTAAAAAAATGGTTTAACAAGCTATAGATTAGTGCAATATATTAAACCAGCCACCGAATGTTCCCAAAAGTGCTTATTTAATTGGCTGTATGATTAGATCCTCCTTATCACCTAACATTCTGAGTTTTCTGTATAATTCTAATTCCCTAATTCCCTTTAGTTCTTTAAGAACAAATAATAGACATCACTGACTTCCTTAGATTTTGGGGTGCAATATTCCCCTTTATACTTGTTCCTCAGTATCACTGATCCTGCATTCATGTATTGTGTTTACATGCATGTAATACATATCCATGTATGCTAAGATACAGGTAGTCCTCTTTTAGCGACCACAATTGGGACCAGCAACTCAGTTGTTAAGCAAAGCAGTTGCTAAGTGAAGTACGACTGTACTTATGATGTTACTTAGGTTTTTCTTTGCTTTACAGACCTGCAAAGGTCATAAATGCGAGGATTGGTCACAAAGTTATTCTTTCATCACCATGCACTGTAACTGCAAACAGTTGCTGTGCGAGGCAGTCACTAAACAAGGACTACCTGTATTTATGTTATAAATATATCCTACCATACAGTACTGTATATGGTCTTGCAAGTATAAAAGGCTGTCTACCCTATGTCTATATTATGACAATTGTACCGTACCTCAAACATACTCCAGGGTTGTTCATTCTCCCCTATCATGTATTTCAACTGTGGCTCAACTTAAGTAGAAATTTGCAGAGATAAAACACAAAAAACCCACAAATAATGTCATAATTTGGTAATTGTGAATTTATTGGAGCTAACTAGTTAGAATAAATAGTTCATCCAAAAACCTTAAATCTTCGATATTATTGAATCCCATTGTGCTATTGATATATAAATTGTCCATGCAAGACAGCAAATTCAGTTCTTACTTAAAATGATAAAGACCCTGGGCTGTACTACTTTAGACTACAGATAGGAACTCCCATGGTTGAAAACTGTTCCGTATGGAAAATAAGTTTAAGCTCTGTTTTCTCTATTAAGATAAGCATTTAACAAAGATAAATGATCTGAAGTGGTGCAGCCCAGCCAGAGTTCAGTACCTCAAGACAATGCAGAAAGGACAGAAAGCTGATACATGTGTGAATCCTTACAGAACCTGCATTTTAAAATGGAACAATGGGACAAAGGTGTCATTGGAGGGGAGTAATTTAATTTTAGCTTTGCAAATAGACTGTGTTGCCAGTTTTTTGCAACTAGTATCACACAAATAAGATCTATAATAGAGCTCTTTGGTGTTTTGGATTAGTAGGAGGAAAGGTGTTTTGAAGTGCATTTGGGTATGCACTTAGCAACTCCAGAACCAAATAAGTCTTTTCTTAAGATCATGCTACCATTATGGAGAGCAGCCATGCAATCCCAGGAAGATGTGGCTGCTTTAACAAGTTGCCAACAGGTGCTCTATGAATACCCCCAGGCATTCAGAAATGTGTTTTTTCCTTCAGATGTAGAGCACTGCACACCCCTAACTATATTCTTTTTTATTTCAACTATTTAATAAGTTTATACAGCTTTTTGTCTTGGTAAAGCAATTCTTCATTTTCATGTTTGGTTTTAAAACAGATAATACATTTATATTCTTTGCATAATTGCATGGGAAAAATTAGTAAGCCAATTTAAAACAGACAAATGCTGAAAATACACAAGCTTCAGGTAAGACTGATATGGAGGATAAGAGAGTTGCTCTGCAGATAGGATAAGGGACTTTAGACATGCAAATTACATCATCTGATTAGAAACATTTCATCCATTGTTACATGAACAACATATAAGACTTACTCTGCAAGGATTAAAAAAGCTCAAGAAAAAAAATAGATTTCTCACCAAGAATAGTTCTCGAATCTTTAAACATTTCACAAAGAAAATCCATCCATACAGATTTATGGACTCCCATAGTAGTTTCTGCTAATATAATACATCCTTTTAAATATTCAACAGAGAACGGTTATGATTTCCCTTAATATTGCAATCTCACTACTGGGAGTTATACTAATATTGTAAGAAAATTAAAAAGAAATTAAACATTCCTCCTTTACTTAGCATCTTTCACTCTGATTATCTGGAAGGAAATAATCTCACTGCAGATGTCTGTTGCTGGCACACATTCTTCTAATGCATTAGGTAGTTCTGATATTATTACATGGTTGTTATATCCCATGGATGTAATCTGCATTACACTGAAAAGGCCACAGACCCATATGTTGCTTGGTCCTTAAGGTAAGGAATAACTATGGAGTTTGCAGGCATCTCATATCTATTTTACAATGGTAGATTCCTACTCATAATCTTTTAAATATTGTGAAAAATACAGTAACATCTACATGTACGCATCCAATGAAAAGTCTTCAAGTGAGGCTGCATTTTGCTTGTCCTTTTAAAGGTAATGACTTTAAAGTTCAACAGGAAACAGAATAAATCATTGGTACTGCCTATAGTCTCCAAAGGGAGAGGCTTGTAACTGAGATGGGTCTTCAGAAAGCTGAGGACCTGTAATAAACAAACCAAAAAAAATTAATCATTTAATGCTCTGCAGTATATTGCTGTACTGGATATGTTTTCATAGGGTCAAGGGAGGAAATTGGTGTTCTCAGGGCATGATTGCTCCATACTAATGTGCAGCTGGGAATGCACCCACAGTTAGGAAACTACTGTCATATATTAGAACTAGAACTGACAACTCTACAGAACCATTATAACACAATTTTTGACGCCTGTTATGTGAAAGTATTAAAAGTTTGCAGATAATTTTAAGTATCCACAAATGTTTTACTTTGAATGCTTGCAATCCACTCTTGTGAAAATAACTCCCACAATATTTAATGGAACTTTAAAAAGAAGTGAAATTGTTTATCAGTGAGAGAGTAAAACATCACGTTTTACAGCATGTTATATTATACCCTTAACTAAGCAAATGTCTTACCATTTGGAAACTGCGCAGATGCAAATCTTGTTAACAGGATACCTGCTCCTTCAATTAAAGCTAGAAGAATTCCTCCCATAGCTGCAGACCCAACCATGGCAACTGGTCCATCTGATAAAGGTTTTTTTTAAATAAAAGATTTAAAATAATTTTTAAAAATCGTTCTATAATACACCAGATTACATGCTATTTTGGAAATGTCAACCATTTTTGATAATAATACAGGTAGTCCCAAGGTTAAGAATGCCCGGGCTATAGACAACCCATAGTTAAGAACGGAGCCTACTGTAGCAAAATTCGAGTTAAATACACAATGATTTGAGTGAACTACACAATGGTTCAGGTTAATTACACAATACTACTTATACAGTATTATAGAATAATACTGTTCCAGCTTACATACAAATTTGACTTAAGGACAGACCTTGGGAATAGAGCCCATTCTTAAAGTGGGGTTTACCTGTAATAATAATAATAATAATAATAATAGTAATTTATTATTATTAAATTTATATGCTACTCTGGGAGGTTTATAATTGTTAAAACATTTTAAAACAAAGAACAATACAAAAAACACAAAAACAGCACAAGAGACGAAGAACAACGATGGTAATAAAATAAACCCAGAGGGGAACAGAAAGGAAGAAAGGGGCATCAGTCATCCTCTCCAAAGACCTGCGTGAAGATGGGAGTGTACAAGTTAAAAAACACTGAATATAACAGTGTGGATTCTTTATAACAGGTGTGTGCAACCTGTAGCCCAGAAGTCACATATATCACTCCAAAACTTAGGTGCAACCCCAGACCCTTTCAAGAAATTCTGATGTTGTAGAAAAATAAGGATAATAAAAAATATACATTGATAAAGGTTTGTTATATATTTTAATTATCTGTCAGAAATGAAAAACATGCTCATTCTCAATATGTCAAGTAGTATTTCTAAAATAGTCCTTACTTCTTGCAGCTAAAATGGCTCCTGTTAAGGCACCACTGGTAATAGAATTCCAAGGATCTTCTTTTCCTCTTGCTTTCACCATACTACAGTCAATCATGGAGAAGAGACCACCCCAGATAGCAAAGCTACCTATTTGAATGAAAAATAATTCAAAACTGATAATCAAAGTATTAGCGGACTTTTTTTATTTGGATTCTTGGATACAGGGTACCATGATCCTAGCAAAGGAAGCTAGAGAAAGTTCACTTTAAGCTCAAAAAGGAGTAGCATCTACGGTTATGAAGAAACATATCAAATATTCAAGAATTTAACACAAAAAAGGGAGTATAATGAATGCTCATCACAGCTCTGTAGTGATAGTTTTCTAGGTGACTTTTTGGAAGTGGTTTGCCACTGTTTTTCCCTAGGGCTGAGAATGATTGGCTCAAAGCCACCCAGTTGGCTTTTATGTCTAAGGCATGATTAGAACTCAGGTCTCACCACTCCTAGCCCAGGGCCTTAACCTCTAGGCCAAACTAGCTCTCAGCTCACATGTTAAATGCTTTAAAGTTACCCTCTTTTTCCAAACTTAAGATTATAGTTTTGTTCTCTTAATGGAATTTAACACACTCATATTTTCTCAAACATACATAGACATACAAGGATGCTTCTTGAAAGTACTGATCTATGCTTCTAAAAAACTTTTTCCCTACTCAGACAGGAAAGAAGAAATCTACTTTCTATCCAGGTAACAAAAGCTTTTCAAAGTATAAATCTGGGTAGATATCCACCAAGTGTTCTTTTCTCCCCGCTTAGGCAGACATGGCACTTGAAGGAGGTGATCTTCCTTCTCCACCCAGGAAGGGAATGCCCAAGTAAAAAATATATTGACAAATGTGGTATGAGTGTTGTTGACTCCTGATTTAAAAGAAAACAGGCTTTTGTTCTCCTTCTTTCCATTGTCAAAAGCACATGATGGTTAACAGCACAGCTGGAAAAAGCAAACTTGCTCACTCTCAGACAAAAAATCAAATAGTTTCTCCAACTGGATTTATGTTCTATATACATCTTTAAAGTGTGCATACACTTCACTGAATCCCATGGAATTTAAGAAGATTGCGTATGCTAGCTTGTATCTTTCATTTATTGTTTTTTTAAACTAATCTAAACTTTCTATTATACAAGTCTTTTCTGTACTCTTCCAGAATATGAAACAGCTGGAGTGAAAGTTAGCATATCCAGTATAACCTCACAGAACTGAAAGCTGGTATTAGGTGGGGAAATACAGTCAGGTCCAGAAATATTGGGACATCGACACAATTCTAACATCTTTGGCTC